CCTGAGCTGCAGAGACCCTGATTGCCAGGGTAGGAGATGGGAGACAAGACATTGTCAGGACAAGCAGAGGTTTCCTTTGGGCAGCAAGCTGGGGAGGCGGCAGGCTTGAGTGTTTTTACCTTCAGCTTGGGTAGAGACAACAATGCAGACATAGGGCTCTCTAATTGGCAGCTAAGGTTTAATTCTGTTTTCACTGGGAGATCTAATCCCATCCTGAGCTACATTCATTTTTAACAAGAATCAAGTGCCTTCTATGTGAGACTGCATGCTGTGGGGATATACAAATGTGTAAGGCACACTTCCCATAGGCAAAGAGCTTACAATTTGGAGAAAACAAGGACACAAAGTTTATAAGACAAGCCGGGCACCAGTGGCTCATGCCTGTAATCCTAGCTACTCAGGAGACAGAGATCAGGAGGATCGAGGTTCGAAGCCAGCCCAGGCAAATAGTTGGTGAGATCCTATCTCAAAAATACCCATCACAAAAAGAGCTGGCAGAGTTGCTCAAGGTGAAGGCCCTGAGCTGAAGCCCCAGTACTGCAAAAAAAAAAAAAAAGTTTACAAGACAAGACAGCATGTGACACGGGCCATAAGAGAGCTCACAAGCCTGGTACCGGTAGCTCACACCTGCAATTCTAGCTACCTGGGAGGCTGAGGTCAGGAGGATCATGGTTCAAGGTTCATGAGACCCTATCTCCAAAACAACCACAGCAAAATGGATTGGAAGTGTGGCTCAAGTGGTAGACTGCCTGCCTAGCAAGCATGAAGCTGAGTTCAAACCCCAGTGCTACCAAAAAAAGAGATACCCAGATTGAGTATCCCTTATCTGAAATGTTTAGTACTAGAAGTGTTTCAGATTTTGGATTTTTGCATATTTCTTTCTCTTTCTCTCTCTCACTTTCTTGCTTTTTTTTTTTTTTTGAGACTGGATCTTATTATGTAGCCCAGGCTGGTCTCCAACTCCTTATTCTCCTGCCTCAGCCTCCTGAGTGATGAAATTATAGCCTTGTCACCATGCCCAGCTTTAAATTACCCATATATATTCCACTGTTTTTTTTTTGTAGTGCTGGGGATCAAAGCCAAGGAAGGCTTAGTGCATGCTATGCAAGTGCTTTACCACTAAGCTACATCCCCAGCCCAATATTTCTTGATTTTGGAATATTTGCATATACATAATGAGATATCTTGGGGATAGGATCCAAGTTTAAACATGTTTCACTTATGTTTCAGATATGCATTGCTTACATAGCACAAAGGTAATTTTTAGTGTGCCTGCATTTTGACTGCAATCCTTCGTATGAGCTCAGGTGTGGAATTTTTCCTGGTGGTATCATGTTGATGCTCAGAATTTCAGATTTTAGAACATTTTGGAGTTCAGATTTTTGGACTTTGGATGCTCAACCTGTACCAAGACTGTACTAAGGACATTGAAAAGGGTTGGATACTACTTCTGTGTGGGAAGCTGAGAGAAGACATCAGGAGGTGGTGTTGACGGGAAGAGACAGCAGAGCAATGATGTTGAGATGGGAAAAGCTGGGGCATGGAGAGATGCTATGGAAAGGAAACTGGCGGGGTCAAAGGGCACATGCAAAGGCTGACAGCATTATTCTTAAGGAGTTATTCACCCACAACACTCTTAGAATAAAGTAAGTATGCCTGTGGGTGTGGCAGTGTCCATGAAAACCCAGCATCTGTAGTTATGGATAGAGCACATTGTCAGCTTCTCTTGCCCTACTCCACTCTTGTTCCACAGGGATCAAACATCTACTCGTTTGTTTTCGTGGCCTGGGGATCAACCCAGGGCTTTGCACATGCTAGGCAAGTGCTCTACCATTGAGCTATATCTCCAGCCCCAAACATCTACTTTTAACCACCTTGACAAAATACCTGTTTTGGGGGTAGAAGAAGCCAACACATTTATCAAACAAAAGCAGTAGATACTGCTCCTGAAGCAAACTCAATGGAGCCCTTAAGGAGACAGGAGAGATGCTGAGGCAGAGGTAGCCACGGGAATGAAGGCCCAGTAACTGGAATGTAAAATACACTTGGTCTTCAGGGCCTAGGGGAGGCAAACTAAGATCACTTTGCTGGAATTGGAGGCCTGGATAAAGCAGGAGTCTTAAAAAGGCATGTTTTGTTTTGCTCAATCAGTATTTTTTATTTGACACCCTAAAAAATGGGGAGATTTTACATAAAAATCACGAATTAAGGCTCCCTTGGAAACTGGGCCTGCATTTTTAAATGACATCCATCCTTTGGAGAAGAGGAGCTTGTAGTTTGCTGCTGCTTCACTGGCTCCTTTTACTCCTTTCTGCTATCCATATTTAAATGCTAAGCACATTTCCTGAGCACAGTGAGGTTGATGAGAATGCCTTCAAAAGCCATGAGGGTTCAGAATGTATTTGAAGGCTTATAGTGCAGGGGTGGAGCACATGCTAACTGGGTTCCCTAAGCTCTCCTTTTCATGCTGCTTCTGAGTTCTACAGGCATTTGATTTTACAGCTCCTGACATAGAGGGCCTCTGCGCAATGAGGACGACAAAGTTGGTAAGGGAGACATGCCAGGCCAAGGGCTCGGTTTTTATTTTCTAAGGGCAATAATAAAGAAGGACTAACACAGGCAGAGCTTAAGAAAATTAATCCAGCAGAAGCTCATGGGCTGGGCTGTGGGAGGAGGGGGACTGAAATGAGTGCTAACTCTGGAGGTAAGTTAACTGGGTTTATGTCCTATTTCAGTTACTGGATGGTAGGTGTGCAAGAAAAAGCAGCATTACATTGCAAAACAAGGTATGGAAACTTTCAGTGCTTCAGTTTTTTCATCTGTTAACAATAACAATAGCAGTCCCCGCTTCATAAGGTTGTTGTAAAGATTAAATGAGATAATGAACATAAATCATTTAGCACAGAGCCTGCTCAATGCTTATGATCATGCTGTTCTGTACAACAGAAGACACTGTTGTAGCAGAGGTGAGTGGATAAGGTCTTAGATTGAGGCAGAGGGCACTAACAAAAAGACCAGTGTGGGAGAATTAGGCATGAGGAAGCAAATGGGCTTCAGGCTGAGTGAGGGGAAGGCCAAGAGTCAAACCTAACTTCAGATTTCCAGCTTGGGTGCCTGGGGCAGTGATGACATTGAAATGGAAAACCCTGGGAAGACAGTTTTAGGAGGAGAGGTGACAGTGGAGATGTGATGGCCAAATGGCTGTGAGAAATGCGAGCCATGGTCAGAGCTGAAGATGCAGATTGGAACAGGAGAAATTATGAGGGACGAATGAAGTGACTGTGTCCAGTTAAGCAAAGGCTGCTCAAGGCGGTGACCATCTTGGTTAGATGTGGAGTCTATTTGAGCAGGTTGGGACCTCTGTTTACTCAGTGACCACATGTGTTCTGCTTAGTCAGCTGTGCCACTTGGGTACTACCTTTGTCCTTCATCATATGTGTTTTCAGTTCAAATGCTGACCTGGCCCAATTCTGCTTACCTGTGAGCTGTGGTGGGGTCAAAGTCCATCAAGGTCTAAAGCAACAGACTGACACTTGGTTTTATATTCTGTGAAACTAAAACACCTAATACGGACAACAGGGGAGAGTGTTGGGCAGAATTGGGGAGGGGTGGTGCACTTGGGCCTAGTGCTTCATTTCATTCCTGATTCCTTCAGAAGGCCTACTAGGCTCCAAGGCTCCCCCCATTCTCAGCTGCTCCCTGGCTCTCCAGGGCAGTGCTCCCCAGCTTGTCCCACTCCCTCCTCCACATACACCTGCCACAGACCTATTTTCTCAGGGCTCCATGGTCCTTATTAGGGACCTACATATTAATCACATTAATCATTGTCAATATTTTCCCCATCCTACTTGTTTTCTTAATACACTAAGTGCTGCCAGTCTCTTTTGGCCCAGGATCTAGGCCAGTTATGGGAGATACAGATGAAAGGGCCAGGCTGTACCTGGAAGAGCTTGGGCTAAAATGCATGGGAGTGTGAAGAGGATTTCAGGCACAGTGGTGTTAAGGTCTGTGAAAACACATCGGGTAGGGGGTGCCTCATTCCATTTGTGCATACAGGCCTCATCCGCCCCTTTCCCACCAGAAATATTCTATCAAAACATGCACGTGCATAATTTATTTACCTCTTCATTCTCTAGCCAGGAGCCAAGGCAAGAAAGACAAAAAAGGAATAATATGAGTGTAAGCCTGGTGAAGGAGGGTGCAGGTGGCTAAACAAGACTTCTGATTAGTGTCATTAATGTTCAAAAGAGTTCCAACCTGATATGGCATTAAACAGATTGTGTGTGTGTGTGTGTGTGTGTGTGTGTGTGTGTGTGTGTGTGTGTAAAAGAGTATTAGGAGACTGAGACACTCAGACAAAGCAGCCAGTCAGTGTAGGAGTTGGGAAAAATTCCCTGTTATCCACCAGACACCTGCTGTTGATTTGCTTCACGTCAGGCACTACGACATGGGGAAAACCACAATGGAATGCAAATGTTACCATTAACTGTGCTTAGGTCACAGCAGTGTGACTGCCCTGTCAAGGTCCCTAGTGACAGATGTAGTTGGCAAACCTGCCTGCTCCAGTGGGGACAGATTGTTCTTAAAGTTCTGTCTTCTTGATGAATTTGGATTGTGCGCTTTGCAGGAAAAACAACAGATTTAGGGTTTTCCTGTTGCCTCTAGGTCACTTATTTTCCAACTGAAGATGGATTTTGAGTTGGGATTCTGAGGTTGTTAACTGCACAGTGATCACTGAGCTGCTGACTCCAATAGTCTGTGGTGGTGCTCATGCTCCATTTACTACAGCGACATCTAATGGCCAGATGAGGCAATGCCATGTTTGCATTTAAAAGCAGCTTGTGATTCTGTCTTGGTGGTTAATTTTAAGGTATTATGTTTGTTAACCCATGAAAAATAACACTTTGACTGAAAACCCTACAGATTTACTTCCTCTATTTTTGGATGACATTATGATGTTACTCATAATTAGACACTATTTTGTGAAAACAGCACAATTACCTTTTTTGGATTTAGCCATGTTGAGTTTGCATTTATTTGAAAGCTGCTTCTTGAAGGTCTATGTATGCATTATCCAGAAGGTTCTCATACAAGAGAAAAGAGGATCAGAATTACCCTCAATACCGACTTCTAGTGTATTTTACCATGGATTATGGCAGATTGTTTGGTAAGGATATATTCTAGTGTAGAATGTAGTGTTGTTTACATTCGCCAAAGAAGAGAAAGGAAAGATAAAGATTTATGGAGACGACTGAAAACCCTCAGCCCCACACTGGGATGTCACTGACCTTCATTGGAAACCCTTTCTTATGACTAGCTACACCCGGCAGGTCTCAAGGCCTTGGTTTTGGACAGGCCCATCAGGAGTAATCTGAGCTCACCAAATTCTGCAGAAGTAACATGAAATTATAAGCGGTGGCAGAAAGTTCTGGAGAGATACTCCTGGCAATAAGAGAAATCCTTAGAGCCAGAATTTTGTAAAAATGAGCATATGATACTCACTTCTCTCCAGCTTTTTTTTTTTGGTGGTATTAGGGTTTGAACTCAGGGCCTTGAGCTTGCTAGGCAAGTGCTCTACCACTTGAGCCACACCTCACAGTCCCTTTTTGCTTTAGCTATTTTTTGAATAGAGTCTCAAATTTATGCCTGGGCCTTCCTGGACTGTGATTCTCTTTTTATACTTCTTGGATAGCTGGGATGACAGGTGTGTGCCAACACACCTAGATTTTTACTGGTTGAGATGGGGTCTTACTAACTTTTTGCCTGGGCTGATCTTGAATGGCAATCCTCCACAATCTCTCCTTTCTAAGTAGCTAGGATTATTACAGGCATGAGATACCATGCCCAGCTCTGGGTTTTTTTTTATTTTGTTTTAAAGAAAATATCTTTGGGGGATGGGGATGAAGGTCAGTGGTAGAGTGCTTGCCTAGCATGGGCAAGGACCTAGGTTCCATCCCCAGCACCTCAAAAAAAAGTATCTTCCCTAGAAAGAAAATAAATACCATGTGAAGGAAATGACTTTTGAAAGCATTGAAACACAGGAAATTGCTGTTTAAATGTGTCAAAAGGTTGGATATGGAAATTTCATGTGGTTCAACCTAAATAAAGAAGAAGCTAAAGGAGAGATATTCTGTACTCCTGAAGAAAAGACAGAATATTTTACATAAATTATTCCAAGTTTATAATTTAACCTAATTCAAACCTCAAGCACAAGATAATTCTAAAGTTCACCAGGAAGAACGAATGACTGAGAATAATGAAGGAAATGGTGCAATAAAGGTTTTATAAAGCTATAGTAACTGACATAGGCACAAGAACAGTCTGACAGATGGACAGAACAGAATACACAACCCAGAAATAGACACATAGGAAAAATATATAAATATTTAGTATGTGGTAAAAATCACATCACAAAGTAGTGGAAAAGGGAAAGATTACTCAAAAGTGGTGCTTAAACAATTGGTTAACTATTAAATTCCAAATGTATTAAAGTGTTAAGTATAAAAATTATAACAAAAATGATTTAAAGGACATGTAAGTGCAGAATCATGGGAACGTGGGCTTGAGGGCTGGGGACTGGCTCTGAGGTGGAGTGCTTGCTTGCTCTGCATGTGCAAGGCCTTGGACTCCATCCCCAGCAATGAAACAGCAGACTCTTGGGGAAGCAGTAGATCTTTTAAGCAGAAAGGCAGTGTTAGAAACAAAACAAGTAGACATAATAGGATAAAGTTTTAAAAGTACATACAACAAAACAACAAAATAATACATACATAGCACTAGAAGCCAAATGTCAAACTGGAAAAATATGTACAATGGATGACAAAGTGTTAATGCCATTAATATGTAAAGACTTCTCACCAATCAACAGAAAAAGCTGAATATCCTAGAAAAACAGGCAAAGGGCATAAATAGAAAATTTATAAAGAAATGCAAAGGACCAACTGATGTATTAAAAACATGCAACCCTACTTATAAACAATGAAATTCAAGTTAAAACAATGTGATACCATTTTTCAGCTATTAGGCTCACAATCACCTAAAAAGGGACAATAATTAATGTCTGTTAGAGTTTCAAAGATGAGCCACTCTCTTTTACTGCTTATGGAAATGTAAACCTACAAATTTCTGGAGTGCAAATTTCATTAAGAGACTGAGAATTATTCATGTCTTGTGATCGGTAAGTCAATTTCTAGGAATATAGCCTATGGGTATTATCGCAGATATGATAATAACAAGGGTTTTCATTACAATGTTACTATTCTTAAGAATTAGAAATGGGCCAGGCACCAGTGGCTCACACCTGTAATCTTAGCTACTTAGGAGGCAGAATCAGGAGGATGGAAGTTTGAAGCCAGCCAGGGCAAATAGTTCACGAGATCCTATCTTGAAAAAAACGCTTCACAAAAAACAGCTGGTGGAATGGCTCAAGGTGTGGGCCCTGAGTTCAAGACACAATACCAAAAAAAAAAAAAAGAATTAGAAATGACCTTAATATTAAAAAAATGAGATTGTTAACAATTTCTGGTATATCCATATGGTGGAATATTATTTGGTAATTAATTACTTAATGGCCTGAAGCAATATCCATTATATAATAGGTGAAAAATAGCAATATTCATTATATAATAGCAGGATACTAATTTTATATATAGTCTTAACCTAATTTTGTAAAATCTTATATATGTGTATATTTACCTATACATTCATATGCATATGATCACACATAGAAGAAAAACTATTAACCATTATAACCTATAAGTATTGGACTATGAGTAATTTATTGTTCTCTTTTATGTACTTTTCTGTATTTCCCAAATTTTCTGCAAGTTATGTATACTACTTTTAAAAATTGTGGCCACATATACATAATATAAAATTAAACATTTTAAAATATATGTACATTACTTTTAAGATTAGAAGTTATGTTCTTTATAAATAGGCATGTACTAAGTAGGCTCTAAATTTGCACCTACACTATAGTTGCAACAATGAAACAATGATTTATCTGAATGAGGACAGGAAAAATACAACCCAGAAGGACGAGAAGTTTATGGATTGGAGTGGCAGAGTAGCACATAATCATGACGTGCGTTTGTCTGAAGGCAGCTTTGATAAGTCAGTATCTTCAGGCTTCTTAGTGCTGAAGCAATGATCCAGACAAGCCAAGAATATTGTGGAGGGAAGCAAGGGAAGTGGTGAGGGGCACTGAGAAAGCACAGGGAAAAGTCAGAGTCATGTGAGAAAACAGGGACTACCCATTTAAAATTGCACGAACTGACCCCAAATCAATTTCCATTCAGGATTTCAGGAATACATGGACTGTCTCAATTAGAGTTTGCTAGAAGAGGCAAGGGAGGCAGGCAAGCCAATGGAAGTGGAATTTCCCAGGAGTGAGCAGGGTTAGAAGAAGATGCAAAGCCTCAATCCTGCATGGAGTCTGAGTCTCCCCCCAATGTACAGATGTGGTTGCAATTCCCCAATCTTATTTGAACCAGTCTGATTTTTCTTTTATAAAAATTGGCTTTTATAAAAATATATGCCAATAAAATGTGGCATATCTACACAATGAAGTTCTATTCAGCCATAAGGAATAATGACAAGTGTTTTGAAGGTAAATGGATGCAACTGGAGGATATCATGTTAAGTGAAGTTAGCCAGGCTCAGAAAGACAAAAGTTGCATGTTTTCTCTCATACGAAGAAGATAGAGCCAAAAGATAAACATATACACAAAAACAAACATGATCATATACAAACACAGATGTAGAACATGTTTGTAATAGTGGAACTACTCATGGAACTCAGGGAAAGGAAAAGAGAATGATAGAACATCAGTAATATCATAAAACATAAGATCTGTAAGGTAGAAGATATAAGGATGTGTATTGAAGGCTGTTGAAAAACGCGGGTGGGAGGTAAAGTGGTAAGGGAAAGTAATGGAAGGGGTTGAACGAACCAGAGTAAAGTGTACTCACAGCAGGGATACACTGAGACACCCCTTTGAACGTCAACTTAAATATTAATAACAAAAGACAGGACTATAAAATAGGCACAGTGTGTGGGGGGACTAGTGGGAGGGAGGGTGAATGCAGAGATTAAGGTAGGTGTATATGGTTGATGGACTTCATATACCTATATGGAATAGAACAAAGAAACCTCTCGCAACTGCTTTAAGTGGGGTGGGGAGGGGTTGAGGGGGAGAGACAATGGGGGCGATGTAACTAATGTACAATGTAAGTTTAATCGGAATTGTCATTATGAATTCCCCCTGTATAATGAATACATCCAATGAAAAAAGTTGGCTTATTGTAGGCTAAGCTAATTATTCACGTTGGAACCTCTGCTTCTAGGTTTTTGCCTGTGCTCTGTAGAGCAAATACTGTTTCCCCAAATAATACCTCAGACAATGCATGATCATTCCCACCAGGACGCCGCCGCTTTGAAGTGCAGTTACCTTCACAGCAAGGATGTTAAGGACTATCGGACCCTTGCTGACTACAGTTCCTCTCTTCTTTGCAGACTTAGCTATCCATTTCATAAAGGTAAGGCCAGTGACAAACAAGAGTACTGTGTCACAGTGGAGCTGGCAAGGAGAGGGCTAGTTGATGAGCTGCATTCTACATTCTCCTCCCTGATGGTATTGGAGGAAGAACCATAGTGATGTTTCCAGGAAGACAGGCAAGAAAAGGGGAGTCTCATCTAGAGCACAGACATGAGGCAGGGGCTTGGGCTCCAATCAACAACCCTAAGGCCAGCAGCAGAAGTGCCAAAGTGGGACTGGCTGGAATTTGCATGAACAGTCCCAAGCTCCCTGGAAACTGGCATCACTGGGTGGAAGCTGGTGTTCTTTGCTGCGGTTACCCACTCACAAACACTTCAAGGCATCCCCCACACCACCCGCCACCACTGCTCCTCACCTGCATCTTTCTCTTCACAGTGTCAAAGGGAAAGGAGAGGGTCTGGCTTACTGCAGCAGACAGACAGACATTGGCAAAGTTCTGTAGGAGAGAGAACCGGTCTCGGGGTCCATTCCAAATTTTCTCCAGGTTCATGTAAACTAGAAGGGAGCCAGCAGAGAACGGGAGTGCACCTGCAAACCAAGATCAGGAAGAGGCTGCCATCTGGGGAGGGCACTGGCTTGAGCACATGAAGACTTGGGGAATTAGGCAAAGAAAACAAGAGGGGCTCCAGGCAGGTTAAGACTACTCCAACTGAGAGGTTGTGTCATTTATCAAAATACACAAACTGGTTCATTAAAGGTGTGTGCACTTTATGTATATAAATCAATATATTGTAAAGAACCATATAATCTCAGCTTGGGAGGTAGAGACAGGAGGATCACAGATTGAGGTTAGCTTGGGCACAAGTGATCAAGACCCTATCTCAAAACAAGCCAGGCATGGTGGTTCATGCCTGTAACCCCAGGCACTTGGGAAGTGGAGGAAGGAGGATCATGGTTATAGGTTGACCCATGCAAAGTTAGTATGAGACTCTTCTCGGAAAAAAAAAAAAAACTAAAAGTTAAAGGACTGGAGGTGTGGCTCAAGTATTAGAGTACTTGCTTAGCAAGCATGAGTCCTTGAGTTCAATCTCCACTACAGAAAAAAAAAGAGAAAAGAAAAGAAAAAAAGAACCAGAAACAAATACTAACTTGCATTAATGATGCACATTAAAAGGTTTAGGGGTGAAGTGCACTGATTGCAACTTACTTTAAACAATGAATAGAAAAGATGGAATAATGAATGATTTTGAGGGATGGATAGATATGTGATAAAGCAGAACTTGTTAATTGTAGCATCTAGATGGTGGCCATATGGGTGTTTACAATTCTTTTAACTTTCCTGTGTGTTTGAAATTTAAAAAACAAAGTGTTGGGGGAAAATCACTGTCATAAAATAAAATAAAGTGGACAGCACCAGATTCATTTGGGAGGCTAGCTAAGAAAGCATTGTAGAAACCTGTGGTCCGGTTATGTAACCTCACCTTTGAGAACAACATGGTCACATCAGGGCCCAGTGCGTACTCCACACTGTGTGACATCTTCACCTTTCTTGTAACTAAGATGTTGAGCAAGCAGTGCAGTATGTGGCACTCTCACAAACTTCCAGAAACTTTGGAGCCATCTTCAGTTTATAGAGGAACTAAATTTCTCCCTCACAATGAGACTTAAATGAGGGGATAAGGCTGAGGACATAGCTTAGTAAGAGTACTTGCCTAGCATGAGCAAGGCCCTGGGTTCGATCCCCAGCACTGCAAGAAAGGTGGAGAGGAGGGCAGGGATGACACAAGTGAGGTTATTTATCTTTAGACAAAGGCAATAGCTATATCATAAACATATATTAAAAGGACTGAAGAATGTAGCTCATGGTGAAGCACTTGCCTAGCATGTATGAGGCCCTGGGTTCTACCCCCAGCACTGCAAAAAAACAACAAAAAGACTTGTGAACCTCCAATTTACCTTCATTCAAAAAACATATGTATGTGCTTTTGTGTACTTTTTTTGGCAGTACGTGGGTTTGAACTCAGGGCCTTGCACCTGCTAGGCAAGCACTCTACCACTTGAACCATGTCCCCAGCCCTCAAAACATATATAGAAGCAGGTGTGGTGGTACATGCCTGTAATCCCAGCTACCTGAGAGGTAGAGATAGTAGGATCATGGTTCAAGGCCATCTCAGGCAAATTTAGTGAGACTCTATCATAAAAACAAGCCTGGCATGGTGGTGTGTGCCTATAATCCCACATCCTTACAATGTGGAAGTAGGACTGCAGTCTGAGGTTGGCCCAAGGCAAAAGCACAAGATCCTAGGTGAAAAACAAAGTTAAATAAAAGGTTGTGGAAAAAAATTGGGGGAGCTTACGCTATGTGCTGGGCCCCATGCCAGTTGCTGGGAACACGAAGAGGAGCTGGCTAATTCTGGACACACTATTGAGGACAGGAAATAGCCAGGGAAAACTAGTTAGTCTAGCATCCCTGCTATGTGCCACAATAGGGGATATATAATATGCTTTGCATACTCAAGGATCAGAGGAATGAATTTTGCCTAGGAGAATCAGGAAGGACTTGACAGAAAAGAAAACTTTTTGGGTTGGTTTGTTTTTGAGACAGGGTCTTGCTATGTAGCTCAGTCTGGCCTGGAGTTCACAATCCTCCTGCCTCAGCCTCCTGAGTGCTGGGATTACAAAGGTGTGAACCACTACACCTGGCTCAGAAGACAGAGTTTTGAACTGAATCTTGAGGAATGAGTAGGAGTTCATCAAACGTCGAGAGGAAAGGCATTCCAGGCAGGGGGAACTGCATGTATGAAGAGAGTGGTATTTCCAAGAAACAAGTTTTTCTCTGTGACTGGAGCATGAGTGCAGGTAATGGCATGGCACGGAATGGGATGAAGTAGGAGAGGCCGGCAGGGGCCAGGTCTGAAGGTCTGGAATGCCATAAGGAATCTGGGCTTTCCCTGTTAGCCCAGAGAGAGTCACTGGAGGTCATTAAGGAGGGTGGTGAAACGAGGGTGGAGCATTTGGAAGAATCACTCTGGCCTGGCAGTGGCACACAGGGCAGACTGGGGCAGGAGACCTGAGACTGCAGACAAGTCTGAGTCCACAAGAATTGGCAGGAAAGTGAGGGCACAAGCTACAGTAAAAGAGATAGACTTGAAGAAGGGTAGGCTTGAGCATTAAATGACAGGACTGTGACTGATATGGGAATAGCAAGAGGAGTAGCTTTCTTCTGGTTTGAGCTCCTGGGTGAAAAGAAGGTGGTCTCATTCACTGGGGGACACAAGAGGAAGAGTGAGTTGAGACTCATGAGAACATCAGTTAGTCTTGAGTTTGCACCTAGGGCATACGGTAGAGGCAAAGGTGTCAGTAGCCAGTATGGTGCCATTAGTAACTGGTATAAGTCAGTGGCTAAGAGAGAGGGCCCTGGAGTTGCTGTGCTAGGCTATTCCATGGTGTATCTATGGAAACTTGCACAATCACTCAGCTTCCCCAAGCATCAGTTCCCCCATCTAGAAAATGAGGCTTAAGAGGTTGTTCAACTGGTAAAACATTACGGTTACATAGGAGAAATAAGTTCTGGTGTTCTATTGCACAGGGTGTTGACTATAGTTAACAACAATGTATTATCTATTTCAATATAGCTAGAAGTGGGCTAGCGGTGTGGTTAAAGTGGTAGCATGCCTGCCTAGCAAGCACAGGACACTGAGTTCAAACCCCAGTACCTCCAAAAAATAGCTAGAGGAGAGTTTTTTGTGGGTTTTTTTTTTGTAGTGTGGGGGCTCAAACCTAAGGCCCTGCACGTAACAGAGGTTTTTGAATGTTTTCACCATAAAAATGATAAATGTTTGAGGTAATGGATAAGCTAAGTATTCTAACTTGATCATTACACAATGAACACATGTATCAAAACATCAAATGGTACCCCATAAACATGTACAATTATATATCATTTAAGAAAACTAGGGGCTGTGGTGCACATCTGTAATCCCAGCTACTTGAGAGGTGTAGGTAGAAGGATCGCTGTCTGAAGGCAACTTGGGCAAAAAACAAGAGATGCCATCTGAAAAATAACTAAAGCAAAAAGGGTTAGGGACAATGGCTCACGTGGTAGACCACCTGCCTAGCAAGTGCCAGGTCATGAGTTTAAACTCCAAGACTACAAAAAAAAAAAAAAAAACAAAACTAAAAACGCCAGGCATGGTAGTCTATATTTGTAATCCCAGCACTAGAGAGACTAAGGCAGGAGGAGATCAAAGCCAGTCTGAGCAACATAGCAAGACCCCCCAAAAAAGTAAAAAATAGAAAAAAAAACCTAAAAGGTAAAATAAAAACAAAGCTGAAACAAGAAACTGAATTCAAAGCACTTAGCAAAGTATCTGGTATATAATTACACACACACCCCAAAATTAGTCATTGTTATTGAAGAACTAGAGAGTGACCTTGTTTTTGGTGGTGCTGGGGTTTAAACTCAGGGTCTAACACTTGCAAAGTAGGTGCTCTACCACTTGAGCCACTTCACCATCCCTGAAGAGCTAGAGATTTGGAGTTACAGAATATACTGATGCTTGTTCAAGCCACTAGCTTAGATGAGGCCGCCTATGGAGGGCTGAGACAGAGGCTGGCAGTGTCAGGTCCCAGGTGGGCCAAATAATTCAGACAAGAAAGAGCTGCCAGAGAGCTCGGAAGACACCCAGGAGATGGGGGGCTCCTAAAAGCAAGCTACCAGAAGAGGTGACTGATCTCATCAAATGCTGCAACAAAGGTCACATGAAGGGTCAAAGTCTGCTGGATTTGGTTATTGGAGGTCCTGTATGTGTGTAGCTCTGGTGAAGGCCATAAAACCCCCAGGAGATACACTTGCTCTTCTAGTTGTGCTCCTGTGTGTGTCTATGTACACTGAAGGCTACTTCTGTTTCCTGTAGGGAAGTACTAAGTATGGCTTTACTATCAGGCTGTGCTGAGCCACTTCTGCTCTGTCCTACTCTCTTCCTTAGATGAGTGTCCAAAGTTTAGGAGTGGGGTGTATGGCCATGGAATAGAATGAGGCAACTGGCTCTACTATGGATTGAATTCATACTACCTTAAGCTCAGGAAAACTGATTTAACTGATCACAAAGATATACAATATGATAGTATATGTCAAAGAACACAGCTTTTTCTTGGACAAGGTGAAAAGTTCCATCTTACCTAAAATAGTGAGGGTCACACCTCGATAAAGGGCCAGGAATCCTTCCTGTTGATAAATAGTAGAAAAGGCATGGACGAGTCCCCTGTAAGATGGTTCCAGCATGTTCTGCACAATCAACCGGGTTTTGATGAGATCTGTAGGATATGTCACAATAGTGGAAACCATGCCTGCCAGACTCCCAGCCACAATGGAACTCCACTGGGAAATATGGCCCAGATCATCCGTGAACATCACAACAAATCTAGGAAAAAATAGAAAGCCCAAAGAAATCAGCTAGAGGGGATCCAAAATGGCAGCTAAGGTAGGGAATCAGAACTCCTAAGCTCCATGACACTAGAAACCTCCTTGAGATATTGGAGCTACACTTGGGTAATTCTGATTGCTCCTGGCCAAAACAATAACTACCATCACATTAGGTGCAGATAAAATTCAAAGATTGACCCTTAAATCAGTCTTCAATTGTACCTAACAGTTGTGAAAAATCCCGCCAGGCACAGCCAGCAAGGCGTGTCTGGCCTCTGGCCGTGGGAAAATAGTCCCTGGCTGCTTCTTTCTCTTTTTTTTTCTTTTCCCAACAAGCAGAAGACAGAGCATCAATGAGAATCAAACTCTGTGACATCCTGGACCCCTAGCCTGTGGAAAGCCTCCCTACGCTGTTTCTCCCTGCCGACTGGCTCCAAAGCTGCCTGTATGAAACTGAAGAAGGAATAGGTGAGCATCACACACTGCATGTGACTCCTCTACCCAACCCCCACCCTGGAAAAATAATCCAGCACAGCCTCTGGGCAGACTAAACCCCCACCCTGCCCCTGAGCAAAACTGAAAAACATAAACAACAAACTGTAATCTTAACACCAACAGCGGAGGTTGGGGTGGAACGCTGAACCTGCCCCAGAGAATGGGGGTGCAGCAAGGAGCCCAACTCTCAGTGCCCAACTCTCAGTGACATGCTCCTAAAGCAGCAAAGGCTGAGAGTGAGGGTGGGACAGCAAGCCAACCTCCAGAAGAGCCACTGGCACCCATCAAAGATCAGGAGAGGCATAAAGGCTGAGAGAGGGAGTGGGGCAACAAACCAACCTCCCAGAGGAGCCGCCACAACTGAGCAGAGATTAGGAAAAGCACAAAGGCTAAGAGCAGGGGTGGGGTGACAGGCCAACCTCCAAAAGCACGGCAGGAGGTGGATCCCGGAGCTGATCTCTGGGACACAGGGAAGATTTCAAAACTGAATTGCCCCACCTTGCTGGGGCAAGAGCTGACCGAACAGAGTTGCAGCTGAAGGGCAACACAGCTGCCACTTGGTGAAAACAACAGCTCTGACCACCCTGCACAAGCTGGCAGTCTTACCTCACCTCAAAGTTCCAACTAATCTTGTGGACAAAAGAATAAAGTACCATTCACAAGCCAGTCACCTGGTGAGACCACATCACAGCTTCTGCTTGTATGCCAATACCAGGATTGGACACCTAAGGAATAACTCCAGAAGTTTTACCAATAGACTGAACTTTTTGTGGTTCCTGAACTTGGTGTTTTTTATTGTGTTTCTTTTTTCTTTTTTCTTCCTGTATTATTAACTTCATCATCACTATACTCTTATCCCTATTCTTTACCTCTTCACTTTCCCTCCTTCTCCTGTACTACAATCCATTGTTCTCTCTCTCAACTACTCTTTCTGCCCCTTCTCATCCACTCTTTCCCATCTTTACCTCCCCTTACCATCCTCCCTCAACCTGTCCCCACACTACCCCTCCCTCCTACTCACTCACCACCTGCTGACTGGCCTACTGTGCCAACCGTACACAACCCCAACACCCGCAATCCCTGACACAAACACCTCCACTGCAACAGAAATACACCCAAACACACACTAAGGGCCACACAAACCAGCAGCCCCCATACCTCTTCCCCCACTCACCCATCCCTTTTCCCACTCCCTTTTTAGTGCTGCCTCTACCAATTCCCCCAAATCTATAACTAGCCTAATAACCATTACCCCCCACCCCAACTCCAACTGTTTATAGATATTATCATCAAGGGGTTTTCTATATAATATGTAAACACCTGGCCTGGCATTGAACCTGTGAATTTGTTATTGCTAAATTACACCTCCAGGCCAGGGACAGAAAGAGCACATCAACCTAGCTAACAACCAAGTCAGTCACAACACAAAAATTAAATCAGGGAAAGAAATCAGGCAATCAAAACCACCGACTAGCCTACCAAAAACATAGTTGCTTAGCACCAAGTGGAGCAATGGGAAGAAGAAGAAGGGATGGAAACCCCTCTTGGTCAATCACAATGATCAAGTCAGCTTCATCCCAGGGATGCAGGGATGGTTCAACATACGCAAATCATTAAATGTAATGCAGCACATTAATAGAAGCAAAGACAAAAACCGTATGACATCTCAACAGATGCAGAAAAAGCCTCTGATAAGACTCAACACCACTTCATGATAAAAGTTCTAAGAAAACTAGGAATAGAAGGAATGCACCTCGACATTATACAGGCTATATATGACAAACCTATAGCCAACATCATACATAAGGGGGAAAAACTGAAACCATTTCCCCTAAACTCAGGAACAAGACAAGGATGCCCACTCTCCCCACTTCCATTCAACACAGTCCTGGAATTTGTAGCCAGAGCAATAAGGCAAGAAGAAGAAATAAAAGGAATACAAATAGGTAAAGAAATAGTCAAAATATCTGCAAAAAATAATTGCAAACAATATGATCCTATACCTCAAAGACCCAAAAAACTCCTCCCAAAAACTTCTAGACATCATAAACAGCTTCAGCAATGTAGCAGGATACAAAACCAACTTACAAAAATCAGTAGCCTTTCTATGCACCAACAATGAACAAACTGAGAAAGAATACAGGAAATCAATTCCATTTACAATAGCTTCAAAAAAACAAATCAAATACCTAGGAGCAAACTTAATGAAGGAAGTAAATGACCTCTATAAAGAGAACTAGAAACCACTGAAGAAAGAAATCGAGGAAGACTACAGAAGATGGAAAGATCTCCCATGCTCATGGATTGGCAGTATCAACATAGTAAAAATGGCTATACTACCAAAAGCAATCTACATATTCAATGCAATTCCCATCAAAATCCCAATGATATTCATCACAGAGATTGAAAAATCTACCTTAAATTTCATTTGGAAACAAAAAAAGATCGTGAATAGCCAAGGGAACACTGAGCAAAAGAGCAATGCTGGAGGTATCACAATACCCAACTTCAAACTATACTACACAGCCATAGCAAGAAAAATAGCATGGTACTGGCACAAAAACATAGATGAAGACTAGTGAAACAGAACAGAGGACTTGGTTATAAATCCAGTCCACTTTATTTTTGACAAAGGTGCCAAAAACATACGATGGAGAAAAAACAGCCTCTTCAACAAATGTTGCTGGGAAAAGCTATCATGGAAACTAGATCCATGCCTGTTACTCTGTACTAGTATCAACTCAAAGTGGATTAAGGACCTTAATATCAGACCTGAAACCTTGCAATTAGTATACAAAAGAGGAGGGAATACCCTGGAAACAATAGGTATAGGCAAGGACTTCCTCAGTAGAACTCCAGCACCCCAGCAACTAAGAGAAAGGATGGACAAATGGGACTACATGAAATTAAAAAGCTTCTGTACACCAAAAGAAATGGTCTCTAAACTGAGGAGACCATCCACAGAATGGGAGAAAATATTTGCTAGCTATGCACCAGACAAGGGACTGATAACCAGAATATATAGGGAACTTAAGAAACTAAACTCTCCTAAAATCAATGAACCAATAAAGAAATGGGCAATTGAACTAAACAGAACTTTTTCAAAGGAAGAAATCCAAATGGCCAAAAAACAGATGAAGAAATGCTCACCATCCCTGGCCATAAGGAAATGCAAATCAAAGCCACACTAAGATTCCACCTTACCCTTGTTAGAATGGCTAGCATCAAGAACACCACCAACAACAAATGTTGGCGAGGATGCAGGGAAAAGGAACCCTCATACACTGCTGGTGGGAATGTAAGCTAGTATAACCACTGTGGAAAATAATATGGAGGCTACTTAAAAAGCTAAACATTGATCTACCATTTGATCCAGCAATACCACTCTTGGGGATATACCCAAAAGACTGTGACACAGGTTACTCCAGAGGCACCTGCACACCCATGTTTATTGCAGCACTATTCACAATAACCAAGTTATGGAAACACCCAAGATGCCCCACTACTGACAAATGGATTAAGAAGATGTGGTGTTTATACACAATGGAATTTTACTCAGCTACAAAGAATGAAATTTTGTCATTTACAAGTAAATGGATGGAATTAGAGACCATCATCTTAAGCGAAGTTAGCTAGGCTCAGAAGGCCAAAAATCACATGTTCTCCCTCATATGTGGACTATAGACCTAAAACAAACACAGTAATATTATTGGACATGGTTCACACACTAAGGGGAGAATGCGCATAAGGAGGAATAGGGAAAGGGAAGGAAACCTAAAACTTGAATGTGGTTGATGTGCCCACTGTAGAGGAGCGAATGAAGTAATCTTAAACTGACTGAGGCCACTATGGGAAGGGAACCAGGAAACAGGGAAGAGGTCTGGCAGAGATGAACCAATGTAGGTTGCAATACACACGTTCATGGAAGCAACGCTAGGAATCTCTCTGTATAGCTATCTTTATCTCAAACTAGCAAAACCAGTATGTCTTTCTTATTATCTCCTATGCTTTCTCTTCAACAATATGGGAGAATAAGTGACATGTAAGTAAATGTAAAAACAATAAAATAAAATAAAAGAAAGAAGAATAAAGAAAAAAAAGGAATCAGCTAGGGATTGTGCTGAAGAGTTCTACACTACTTGAAGTATTTGCCAGCGTTTGGAAGTGCTTTACAAAGTGAAAATTGCTATAGTATTATATTAGGTTTAATGAATAATAAATTTACATATGACTATATATATATATAGCTAGTTAGCCATAAGACAGATACCCAGCCTTCTGACTTGTATCTACCCTAAGCTCTTCCCTCTTCACTTTCAGCATTTTCCCTTTTGATCTGCAAACCTGTCTGGCCTTGCTTGTCTGTGGGCAAGCACTTGGCAAATACCAAATTGGAATGCACTCTTTTGGTCCTGTTGAAACTTGAAAGGAATGGAATTTCTTGAAATAATTACTTTGGGCATCCCAATTTAGCTCTACTAGATT